GTGCATGGCTTTCACATTCTCATTATGCTGTTTTTCCATTTAACATCCCATCCATGTTTGCTCCAACAGGGCCTCCTTAACTACTAACAGTCACAGGGGGGGCAGGAGGGCAGAGGTATCCTCTCCTGGAGGCCCTCCCAACACCACAGGCCACTCACTCACCAGCCTTGTGCTGAGCACCCACACTGGGCCCCTGTGCTTGGCACAGGACACAGGGCTAAACATTCAGCTCACTCGGCTCACCAGCAAGGCAGATGAGCAAGCAGGGGGCACCATGAAAGCCAGCAGATTCTGTGGAGCATCCAGTGCTAGGAGCAGTGAGAGGAACAAACCTGGAGCCTCCATGGCTCTTCCACGGAAAAGGCCTGGGGGAGAGATGAACATTGTCTGGATGTTGAGCAACAAGAATGGAGGGTGGGAGGAGAGGGCAGGGATGACTTGAAGTGAACACAGAAGGAGGAGAAGCCTGATTTGCCAAGGGCTCCTGGTTCTTGAAGGTACATGCCTGCTCCAGGAAGGTGAAGGCCAGGGAAGATGGAGGGAGGCCCTGACCTGCAGACCCTTAGGAAGGCAAAAGTCCTTAATTGCAGGTTTCTATGTGCAAGCCACTTCACACCCAAAGGCACACATCCACAAGAGATACACCGGAGAAAGCCACTCTCTGACCTGCATTCCCCAGGAGAGCACCTGGAACTTCTGCCCCTGGGTAACGAAGGGAGCTGTAGCTGCTTTTATTTTCACCTAAGCCACCTTGCCGCTTAGTAAGAAGTTATCCCACAGGAACTAGAAGCCATAGAACAGCAGGAAGGTAGGAAAGGAGACTGTGTGGTCTGCATTCAGGCAGGCTTTTGGATCACTTTGCAGTCCTAAACTAATGGGCAATTATCTCTGTGACTCAGTCTTGTTTATCTGAACATGAAGATAGATCTGCAGTGTCATTGGAGGATTCCCTGAGATCAAAGAAGCCAAATTGACCAGCAAAGTCTCTAGTTTAGACAACTATTTCCTAGTTGTGCCTACCATATGCCTGGCCCTGCACAGTGAACAAGCATTCTGGTATGTGGAGGATACAAAAACTCAATCAGTCAAAAGAATATTACTGCACAGCAGGGACTGCTGGAGACTGGGAGTAGGCACTTGCAAGAGGAACACCAGTGGCTGCTTTAGATTAGGTGGTCGGATGGACAAAGCTCCTGTTGGGCAGGGACACTTCAGTTGAAAAATGAAAAACAGGAAGCAGACCAGGTGTAGCATAGGGGAGCATCCCAGACAAAAATGACAACCAGTATTATATCATAGCTAAAGAAACAGTACACTCAAAAAAAAAAAAAAAAAAAAAAAAAAAAAACACCTTATACTAGTGCCCAGAAAGTAGGAGGAAGAGAATAGGAAGGAACTCTACAGCACACCTACTGTAAGCCAGGATCTGCTCTATAGATTCTCCATATGCTGTCTTCTACTTCCCAACAGGATGAGCAGAGGTAGAAGTTCCTAAAGGAAGTCCTTGGGAGTTTGAAAGGGGGAAAAACAGAAGTAATGTCTTTGCAACAGCTGCGTGAAAATGGTTACTGGAAGTGTCCACCAACTTCAGGAGTAAGTGTGGCCAGGGAGGAGGGAGGTGGAGACCCACCCTTCGGAAGGCGGAAGCCCTTAATTGTGGGTTGCTGTGCACAGGCCACTTCAAATACAAAGGCATGTGTCCAGAATGAAGAACCAATGCTGTCCACAGCAGAGATGCAATTGAGGGCTTACCAAAGAGAGTGCTGGCTACTCCAGAGGGACCTCGCAGAGAGCAGAGAGCAACTCACTTTCATAAAGCAAAAAGGGGACAGTGATCTGGCAGTTAAAGCAGCATACTCAGGATTGGAAATAGAGAAAAGAAGGACTGGGGCTTCAGCTACCTCCTTCCTGAGACACTTCCCATGAAGGTGGGTGCAAAAGGAGTTAATGATGCATGGAAAAGTTACTTCTATTTTAATAGTTAATGAATTTTCATTGTGGTAAATATGTATCACACCAAATTTGCCATTTTAATCATTTTTAGGTGGGTGGTCAGTAGTGTTGAGTACATTCACAATGATGGGCCACCACACCACCACCCATTTCTAGGACCACTTCTCTCACCAAACTGAAACTCCCTACTAAACGCCTGTCTCCATTCCCCTGGCCATAGCCCTGGCACTCACCCTTCTACTGTTTGCCCACAGTGCCCAATGCAATCGGACTCAAAGATCTTTTTATGGATAGCTTACTTCACTTAGTCGTCAATGTCCATCCACATGCCAGCATTTCTTTCCTTTTAAACCCACTGAGTCCCAATTTTACAATTCTGCCAATATTTCAGTGAAACAGACATTAAAATAGGTTGGAAATCATAATCTAGAAACTATATACTATTTTTTCCATTTTATTGGTGCATCGTAGCCCATATATTATTATACACTAACTTAAGCAATAGTATGATTATTAGCTGATTACATTCAAATCCTATATATTTTAAAGTTTGTATAGGAGTTCCACATCTGAGACGATGTGACAAAAGGGGGAAAGGCAGAATGGCATTACATCACTGCACGTACTGCACCTTGTGCCCTCACTCATCCACCAGTGGAGCTAGGGTTGCTTCCATCTTTTGGATAAGGTGGCAAATTCTGTGATGGACATGGGCGTTCCTGTGCTTTCAGTGATTTCTGTATATACATATGGCTTATATGGTGATTTTATATTTGAGGAAACAATTTCAGTAGCAGCTGTAGCACTTCATATTCCTTTCAACACACAAGCATTCCTATTCATATCTGATCCAATACTTTGTTATTTTCATTTTCTTTTGATAGCCATCCTAATGGACATGAAGTGGTATGTCAAGATGGTTTTGATATGCATTTCCCTAGCCATCCTAATGGACATGAAGTGGTATGTCAAGATGGTTTTGATATGCATTTCCCTAATAACTGATGATGTTGATCATCTTTTCAGTGCTTACTGGCCATTTATATATCTTCTTTGGGGAAAAGCTATTCTAAGTCTTTATTTTTTGTTACTGGTAATTTGTAGGTATTCTTTAAGTTCTGCACATTAACCCATCATGAGATACATAATTTACAAATATTTTCTTCATTTCATGGGTTACCTTTTCACCAAATACCATTTGATATACAAACATTTTTAAATTATTTATTTTTTTTTAGTTGTCAATGAATCTTTTGTTTTATTTATTTATATGTGGTGCTGAGGATTGAACCCAGGGCCTCACACATGCCAGGTAAGCGCTCTACCAATAATACCAATAAGCCATGACTCCAGCCCTTAAATTTTTTTTTTAATCAAACGTTTTAAATTCTGATGTAGTCCTATTTATCTATTTTTTCTTTTGTTCACTGTTGTTCTGGCATCATATGCAAGAATCCAATGTCATGAAGCTTTTCCTACATTTTCTTCAAATAGATTATATATTCACTTTAACATTTAAATAATGAGCATTTTAAACCATCATTTTATAAATGCTATGTACTATTTTTTAAATTTTCAAAAATTTAAACGTTGAAAATTTAAATTAATATATAACAAACAACAAAGAGAGGTTTAACATACATACCCTTTGCAGTGAGCTCCCAAATGAGTGATGTTGGTAAATTGTGTGCTAAGCTAAACTGCATTTCTTATTTTTTAGTGCTGGGGATCAAATTGGGTCCCTGTTCAGTAAGGCAAGTGCTCCCTCATTGGGCTACATCCCCAGACTAAGATGCATCCTTCTAAACATACCCACTGCTTTATTGGCTCATAGACTTGAGTTTCTTCCTCTCATTGCCTGGGAAATGGCTCTGAGGATGATTCAAACACCTGCTAGAGAAGAAAGGGTGTTCCAATGGAGTGGCTCATTCGAATATTCCATGCTACCACAGAAACCTAAGTTGTTTATTGTAAAATCTGACCTAAGAGATCGGAGGAGAAAAAGCCAAATCCTATTAATCCAACAAGATTTCATTTGCACCCCTATAAGGAATCTTGAAATGAACCAATCTGCTATTTATGGTGCCTGATTTCCTCCACTTTTGTTGACCTGTAAAACCCACCCACTCTGTATATCTCATTGGCACCCCTTTCTATTTTGCAGACTAGATGCTGCCTAGTTCATGACTTCCTAGTAAGAACTAAAACTTGTTGAAATTTTGTTCTTTCACACATCTGTAAAGTAGCCATAAGGACAAAGGCTGGTGATACTGAAACTGGATAACAAGGCAAGTCATCCAACCTAAAGAGCAAGACAAAACATGTTTTGAAAGTAGAAGGAAGTAGTATAAGTCCACAACAATGCATTCAATCAACTCTGAAATGAAAATGTTCTGAAAATCATGAGTTTTTTTTTCTCCTCCCATGTTTGGAGCAAGCCTGTGTGAACTGATGAGACTATAATCTTTATATATCACAGTCAGGATAAATATTTTGAACAGTCACACATTTTTGCTGTAGAAGTGCTTGGTTGTAGGGCCCTAGCCCAGATCCCGTTGAAAGTTTTTATAAAACGCAGCATATATACCTCCCCCTTTAAAAAACTCAAACATTTCTGAATTCTAAAAACACATCTGGCCCCAAGGGTTTTTGATACTGGATTGTGAGCCAGCGTGGCAGTACTGTTTAACAGAGCACTTGTGTCAGACATGCTTCTCGGTACTTTGTATGTAAACGTCTCCCCAAGTCCTCACCATTCCCTATCAGTCATCATCATCATCTCTTACAAGGGAGAGAACTGAGTTAGGTTAGCTCCTTAATTTGCTGAAGATCATGTAGCAAGTAGCCTGAGTACGGTTTCATGCATTTCATCAAAACAGGGCTTTGTGACAGATGATGCCTTCCACTGAGCAGAACGGGAAGCTCACTGTGACCCAGACATGCCAATCTGGAGACGGGCAGTCAGGTGGTTCGCAAGGCCCTGGGTGCTTTCCCACTTTCCACTGGGGTTGCCCCAGCGGCTCCCGTGGTGCGGCCAGGCTGCAGCAGCTCCGCAAGTTACACTGGGCAACAGCAGAGAAGGCAGATCCACACACCCACCTCCTCCTTTCAGGAAGGACAGTCCTTCCCAACTCTGCTCGACTGACCTCCTACTTCTCATGGGCCAAAACCAGATCACAGGTCCCCCGCCAGTGGCTGGCGAAGGAATGCCCCGCTTTAATTCATCGACAGGGCCCTGGCTCTGGGCCCTACGGTGCGGAACCGCCGCGAGCTCGGCGGCGGAGCGGGAGGAAGCGGCGGGCCGGAGTCGGGGCAGCTGGTTACAGCAGGGGTCTGGAGCCTCAGGCGGGAGGACCTGGGCGCCGGAGCGGAGCGGCCCCGCCTCTGGGCCTCGGCTTCCGAGTGCACAGCCCCAGGGGCCCGGCGCCTGCGCCCTCGGGGCTGTAGAGGTGTGGGGCGCTCCCAAACTTATCCACAAGGTGCCACCAAAAGCCGCAACCGCGCCCAGCGCAGCACCCGGCCACGACCTCGGTGGCTCCCAGGGCGCAGGCCGGAGTCCAACTCTGGGAGCCGAGGCGTCAACCGGACCACAACTCCCAGAAACCGCGGGAAATCTCCCACGCGGATTGGCCCGCTGCGCCATCTATCAGTCTACCAACAGCAGGAAGAACTGCCGACGGGGCCCAACGGCCAATCACAGGAGAGAGGAGGCGGGCGGCCCGCCTGCCGATCCCGAGGCCGTGGCTCAAGTATGGCGGATACTAAACCAAGGGGCCTTCGGGGCCCCACAGCCGATTCTATGACCCGGGAAGGTCAAGCCACCCCTCCCCTACGAAACAGCTGCGTTAGGGCAGACAGGCAAAGCCCCTCGAGCACCTGTCTCCGAGAAGACTGCGGCCTCCGATACCCCGGCCTGCGGCCCTGGCTGTGCAGGGACTCCGCGCTCCTCGCGGGCCACGCCCCCAGCCTCCTCATAGGCTCCCCCGAACACTTGCGAAGGAACCTGGGCGTGGCGAGCCCGGGGCCGGCCTCCGGGTGGGCCTGACAGGCCGGCTGACTCGGGCCTGAGGCCGCATGGACAGCCTGGCGCTGGGTCAGTGGCGACGGCGGAAGCCGGAGGAGCTGCCGGTTCCGGGGGACGCGGTGAGCCCCGGGGCCTGGGTGTTAGGAATGGAAAGGCGCCTGCCCTTGGGCCGGCCCCCACCACCCTCGGCTGCGGGCAGAGCACCACCTGTAAGGCAGACTGGCCCTGCGGCCTGCGCCTCACCGGGGCGTGTCCGGGGGCGTGGCCACGCGCGAAGCCGCGGCCTCGCCCCCCCCCCCCCCCGCGCCTGCGCGGACTCGTGGAGACTGGCCGCCGCAGACCCGCCAGCTCTCCAGGACCCGGCTCCCGCTCCCTAAAATATGCACTGGGGACCCCTCCCTCGACCCCGGGTGTTCGGTGTCTAGATCAGATGGCTTCCCGCACTCTGGACAGGTCCACGTGCCAGTGCTGCGCGGCTTCAGCCGGGAGAGCGCGGGCTTGTGTGGGAGAGTGCCGGACTGCAGGGTGCGGCCGGCCGCAGCCCCGGGAGGGCCGGAGGGCCCGGCTCTGTAGCGGGTCGCGAAGGATCCCGGAGGGATGGAGTCTCGTGCAGAGCTGCGTCTTCCCTCTGCTGGCAAAGGGGGCAGTTATTTTTTGACCTCACTTATTTTGTGGTCCCTTGCTAAGAGCAGCCAAGATACCCAACATTTGCTCTTCTCCTTAGTTATTTCTTTGAGAGCTACAGACTTGATAAGTGCCAGGTCTGTTTTTTCAGATAATGCAGGCACCATTTTTTTTCAGACGTTTTTGTAGATTATCGAAATTGAGTATGGGGTTTGGGGTGTAGTTCCCTAGCCCCGGGCTCACTTCCCAGGCCCCTTCACATGAGTGACTAGGGGCGCTGGAGTGGTAAAGGGAGTGCTTAATATGTACAAGCCCTTGGGTTCAGTGACTAGCTTTCTACCTGCAGCATCTGTTCCCTCACTAGCCACTCACTACCTGATGTAGAACCAGTGCCACTTATGTTTCTGTCAGCAGCACCCCACCTCCAGGTGCCAGTTATTGTATTTCCAGGATACATCAGGCTGCGAGCCTCTATTGTGGGTGAAGACAACATGGAGTTCGGTTCTTCTGCACATAACAAGTGTGGAGATGAGCCAGTCCACGGTGGTGAAAACCTGGTTCCCTGAATTTAGGTGTAAGGCAGATGGTACCCAGATCCAAGGACATCCAGGTACCTCGAGTCCTTCTCTAACACCATCCCCTGCGTGTCACGGTCACTGTCAGCTGGCTCATCACTGCAGTATTCACACTCCAGACAGTAGGGAAGCAAGTGGTGGAGTCTCAGGATGATAGGACACTTCAAGAGCTTTCTGCCACTGCCCTGTGGGAAATGTAGGGTGGGGTCAGAGTGAGGGCTCTCTGCCTGGTGCATTAGACAGCTGGGTGGGGAGAGCAGCCTGCTGCAGTCTTGCTGACAGTGATGGGAAGGCAGTGGGAAGGGTGGAGTCCCCTCTCAGGGTGGCCTTGAGCACTTGGGAGGGCAGTGGTTCCTGTTCTGAGAGAAAGCTGGTGTGGTACTGGGAGAAAATGGCGTTCCTGTTATGGCAGACTGGGTTCTCTGTGACTCTGGGACATTTAGTGGTGATATGGCAAATACTGCTAGTCATTGAGCAGTCACCATGTGGATCATCTGGATTTCACAACAACGTTTTATGGTTCCCGTACTATAAATGAGAAAACCGAGGTGCGGAGAGGTTCATTAGCTGTCCTTCAGGCCCACAGCAAGGCAGAGTTGGAACTAGAGCTTGTAGTCTGTAGAGCTTCTCCTCCTAACCGCTGGGCTACACAGCTTTCTGTGTGGGGATCTTGGAGCTGAAACATGAGGGTTTCACAGTGTTGTCCTAAATTGGCCATCATAAAATGATGAGAAGTGTGATGCTGAGGGCTGTCAGGGACAGGGAGCCAGAGGTCATTATTGATCAGAAAGAACGGAGGAGACTTAATGGAAGAAACCTTGAATGATCTATCAGATTGGAATTGCTGAAATTGAGTGCCAAGGTTGCAACCGCAGTGCTTCCTGACTGTTACCAAAGAATAACGATTTGGGTATCTTAGAGCCATGGTGTGTACTGCTTCTTAATTTGATAAAGTTCTTGTTTATATTGTACTGTGTCCTAGTCTTTGATCTAATAATCCAGATTGAGTTCAATAAAGTATCCGAGTGCTTGTATCAAGTTTTCTGTTCTCTCCAAGTTTTCTTCTCTCTCTCTCTCTCTCTCTCTCTCTCTCTCTCTCTCTCTCTCTCACACACACACACACACACACACACACACACATACACACACACAATTCTCCAGCATTTGATTTCTGAAGAACTCCAACTATTTTCCTCCTGTTGTCAGCCCAGTGGCTCTATACTGAGTACATATAGCCATGAGCAGAGTCCAGAAAATTGCCTGGCAGAGCCAGTCAGGTGCATCCTGGTCCTGGTCGAAGTTTCCTAGCTAGGCAGTCAGCTAGTGTGGTGACTGGCAGCTGCGTGTTGGCAGCATTGGGTCATTTCCACCTGCAGACATCTTTTGAGCCCCTGTTGTGGCCTGGGTCCTGGGTGGGCACAGGAGGTGTGACACTTGGCAAGAAGTGTGGAGACCTTTGGAACTCCTGGCGAGATTTCTTACGTAGTACCTGCGCCTGCTCACATCAGTTCCCCTGCTCAGCACACACTTTCTAGAGTAATGGTACCTGCTTCACACCTGAAGCTCCGTGTCACTCGGCCTTCTACCTCTGTTAGGGCTGTTCTCCAAAAGACCTCTGCTGGTGTGCCCTTGTGGTCCTGTGCGCTCCCTATGCTTTTTCTACTTTTCTCCCTTCTTTTGGCTTAAGGGACTCTTTTTATGATTGCATGTTATTTCCTTCACTGTCTTATCAGCTGTAGCTTTGCTCTTTGCTTTATGATGTAGAGTGTTCCTCTGCAGCATCGTCAGGTGATGGTGTGCCACCTCACCCTTGAACACCTCTCTCTTCCTTCCTCTCAACATTGTGCCTTATAGACCTATATATTACTTTGACATATGCTATAAACTTCATTCTGTATTGATACTATTTCCTGTTTTTAACAGTCAATCATATTTTGAAAAAGGCTCAATAACAAGAAAAAAAACACATATTTATACACAGTTTCCATTTCCACTACAATTCTTTCTTTTATGTTGGTCTCTATTTCCTTCTGACATTCATTTCCTCCCCTGCCTAAAGGAATTCCTTCATTTTTTTTTCTCCCTTTTTGGTGCTGAGGATTGGGCCCAGGGCTTTGTGCATACCAGGCATGTGCTCTACCTCCTAGCTACACCTGCAGCCCCCTTCAACATTTCTTATAGGACAGGTCGACTTGTGGTAATTTTTTTTCAACTTTTATCTGTCTGAGAAAGTCTTTATTTCACCTTCATATTGGAAAGATATTTCCACTGTGCACAGAATTCTAAATAGAAAGGTTTTTTTTTTTTTTTCTTTCAGTATTATAAAAAGATGTTGCTTCCTGTTTTGTAGGATTGCTTCCAAGGTGAAATCTCCAGTCACTCTCTCTTTGTTTCTCCATGTACATGTTTCTTTAATCTCTGGCTACTTCAAAACCTTTCTTTATCAGTAGCTTTGAGCAATTTGTTTATCATGTGCTTTATTACCATGATAAATCCTTATTATTTTGTGCTTAGTGCTATTGTGATTCTTGAACTTGTGAGTTTATAGTTTTCATCAGATTTTTTGACATTTTCCTTCATTTTTCTTTTATCTGGTGATGCTTGGGATTGAACCCAGGACCTTGTGCATGCTAGGCAAGCACTCTACCAACTGAGCTACATTCCTGGCCCAAATCTGCAACATTTTTATCTATTGTATTTTCAGATACTTTTCTTGTTTCCCTTACTTCCTCTCTTTCTGAAACTTCAGTTATTCATCTGTTCCTGAAGTTGTCTTGTGATGCCTACTTAAAGCCTTCTCTGTGTTCAGATTCTATACTCTGTATTGCTGTTTCAGGTTCACTAACCTTTTCTTCTGCAGTGTCTAATCTGCCATTAATTATATCCAGTTCATGTTCCATCTCAGATCTGGATCCCTGTCTCTGTTTAACATTCTGAACATATGCAGTTATAATGACCTTTTAATGTTCTTTTCTGCCGATTCTAGCACTTGTGTGATTTCTGGGCCAGCTATAATGGATTATTCTCATTACAAATCACATTTTTCCACTTCTTTACAGACTTAGTAATTTTTGTTTGGATGTCAGACATTGTCAGTTTTATATTTTGGGTACTGGATATTTTTGGATTCCTATGAATATGATTGAGCTTTCTTTTTGGAACACAAATAAGCTACTTGGAAGTACTTGAGTCCTTTGAGTCTTGTGTTTAAGATCACAAGGATTTTTGGTTTTACTGGTAGAGTCAGGCAATATTCCCAGCCATGTTTGAGCATCAAAAATTGTCATTTCTAATCCTTCCAGGTGGTTCTTTCCATGGCCTTAGGTAATTTCATCCCTTATCCATGTTGATCAATATTCGGCTGAATGCATCTTTCTCTCTCCAAGCCACTGTCTTCTGTAGTAGTCTGCTCTGTGAGATCCAGCCACCTTGGCCTCCCTAACCTCTCATCAGTGTGTCCTAATCTCAGGGAGTTCACCAGGCTCCACCTGGGTTCCACCTCCTGTGCCACAGCCTGGAAGTGGTCAAGGCAACGTGGACAGGCAGTCATAGGGCTAACCTCATTTGCATCCCATATCTCAGGGGTCAGCACCCTGTTTCTGGTTGGTTAGTGTCCTGAAGTCTGTTATTTAATTTACTTTGTCCATGTCATGAAGGAGAGTAAATTCTGTTGCTCCAATTTGACCCAAAGAAGTTGAATAATACAGGTTGATTAAAGGTTTAAAAAAGGAAAAGCACATGCACTAATAAAGTTTGAACTTTGAAGGACTTAAGATGTTCAAGAAAATTAATTCTAAATGTTTTCTACCCTGTTTTGATTTAGAATGTTTTAAAGGTTGTCTTTAAATGACAAAAGCTCTTGTAAGTTGTACATGCAGCAACAGCTTCATGAAAACAACTAGCAGTGTGACTGTTTTCTA